CAGGTTATTTAGGCTTTTTTTATTTTTAAATAAATTTATTTTATATAAATGAATTGTAAGACTAGTATAATACGTATTCAAACATTCAACAACAATCCGCGGTAGTTTAGTTGTTAGTATCCCCGCCTGTCACGCGGGAGACCGGGGTTCGTTTCCCCGCCTTGGAGAAATTTTTTTACAATTTTTCACGGTTTTATTAATTTTTTTAAGTAATCAATTAAATTTGTGTATGTATGTATGGTATGGGACCCCATTGAAAAATGTACATAGCTTTCAGTAAAAATTTACACTAAAAGTTAAACGCATAAAAATGTAGTTTTAATTATTAAAAACAGGAAGTGTATTTTTTTTTAGGCCCTACGCACACCACGCGATTCACTGACGACGCGATATCTATTACGAGCGATATCACGGCAAATTGAACCAGGGATCCACTAACGACGCAATTCGATTACGATGCGATTGCGACGCGAGCGACGGACGGTACGCGCAACCGACAATGCTAATCGCCTGGCTATCGTATCGCGCGGATTGAAGGCGATTTGAAATCGAAAACGAATTTAAAACGAAAATAATCGAAACAAGTCTCGCGGTTGACGTTGTACGGATTGACTGAACATCGTTTCGTATTGGCGTGACTCCGAATCACGCAAATCTGTCAAATCGCGTGTGTATCACATACCACCTGTTAATCATGTCGCGTGTGAATCGCGTAATGTGCAGAGGTCCTATGACATAAAACAAATTCTCTTCTGTTTTTCTTTATTCTCCACATAATTCGCCAATGTTATATGTTACTACAGCATTATTTTGAAACATGTAATGTTACATTTCATATTAACATTCGCGTAATTGTAATACGTATGGAACTGCTTATGTTCTAAAATAAAACTTCGATTGTAATATGAACACCATATTTTATGTACCATCTTATGAACGTCCCGAAATAACGTTCTATTCACGCTCTAAGTAATCCCATTCATGTTCCAAACAATGTTCCCATACATTTTACAAAGTAGCATTCAATACACGTTACACTTGACATTCAATTAATATTACTGAATAAGAAATATAACTTCAAAACAATTTATGTAATATTCTATTTCAAACAATTATTTTTGCAATGCATGTACAAATAAAATAATAATAAATGTATTAACATAATAAAGTATAATAAAATAAATATTTAGTTAATTTCTTTAACATTTTATATATATATATATTTTTAAAATCATATATTCTAAATAAACTTAGGTGATATAATAACATAATAATATAATGACAGAGTGTATAACTACAGCTTTTTATACTGATATTTGAATATAAAAACACTTACGTTTAAAATTATGTGATACATTAAATTCTTCATTCCGAGTTCTTAATTTATCACATAAAACTATTTTATTATTTAATATAGTACAATCAATATTATTCATAAACTGTACTATCGAATTATCAATCATACACAAAAAAAGAACATAAGTTCTTCAAAATTATTTATAGTATTATTTAATATTAGTAAACTATGAACTTCATCACAAATCATTAAGGTTTTACTTGAGATTTAATTTAGTAAATGGGATATTGCAGTTTTTGACATTATGTTTATGCACGTAAAAGGTTGTTGTAAAGAAGCTTCCGAATTAGTTGTGCTTTTATCTTGTTCAGCTTTTATTATTCTCCTTATGTGACGATCTGTTACTTCTCAAGATTTTTTCTTTTCTTTTTCTAAAAATAATAAATATTTAATACCAGTACTTTACCAACATAGCAAAATATAATTTTTTTGATCTTAACCTCTTGGAAATAATTACATAATGATTAGATAAAACTATAATTATTTGCAAAGAGCTGCAGATGGTGGAAACAAACCACCAAAGTATTCCACGATTTAAAATTTACAATCGATAGGCGTACAATTCAAATGTGAAACCAAACTTAAAAACACTGTCACACTGAAATGCTGAACGATACGTGAAGAACGAGACAAGGACGCGATCGTGTAAGCTGCAAAGTGTGAAGTGGTTGGTAAAAATATTTGTTATATGTACTCAATAAGATGAGTATGAATTGTGCGCGGCAGCCGCGCGAGCAATGTTCGTCTTAAGCAGTCGGTTAATTTAACGCGGGAGTCGTTTTAAGTAGGTATCAATTCTTATTAGAGCACTGCAAGTGATACAACTCTCCCAGAGCGGTCCTGTTCCGTTTTCGCGTATCGACCACGGACGTTTCACGTGCACGAGTAGCTGCCACTTTAATTGTGATATATCACGTTATTATTATCTAATAAAAAAAAAAAGTCACCTATACATCAATCATTTTATTCCTCCTGATCATTAAATCTCATTTGCTATCATAAATCTTACCATGTCAACTTCCATCGGTTCGGAATCATGATACTCTTCTACCTTCATCGGTCCAGGACGATAATATTCGTCTACATCCATTGGTCTGGAAACGTCTTGGTATTCCAAATCAATTGGGTAATCGTAGAACCGTCTGTAGTACAGACACAGCGAAGAGCAAGGAGTGCCATAAAAACCGTTGACAACAGTCTGATTTCTGCAAAAAGATGCAACAGAACACGGAACGATTAATGTGTTGGTCGAAACAAACGTCAAACGAGTAATTCTGGTTCGTGTTGATATAATCAGATGTATAAGTCAATAAAAACATTTACTTACCCAAACACCGGCATCGCGTACGTTGGATTCGATGGCTTTATTTCCGCGGGATGTTGAACGTAATAACCACCGTTACAATTGTTCATTGTGTACGGTTGGGAAAAATATATAAACAATAATAACTATAAGGATAGAAAAATTAACGATCGTAAATCAATCACGGTTCGTGTTAACCTTTACATTCGTAACAATACAACAATTACATCGATTACTATAATTGCGCCAAAAATGAGAGTCCACATTGTGTATTATATGTGTGGCCAGCTGTTTATGAACTTCCTTGCTATAACACACATTGATTGTTGTTCAATTTTTTGAAAGCTTTTAATCTAAATAAAAATTGCAAATATAGTTAATAATCATCTTATACACGACTGTACAATGTGCAGTGCACATTAAACAATTTAATGTTAAGTCGGCTATAAAATCAACGAGTGACTATAGTATTGTATATGTAAATAAGTACGTTAATTAGTAATAAGTTAATAAGTTTTAGAACAGAAAAATGTCCAAATTTTTTTCGGAAAATCATAGTAATCAAATACAGTAGAAGCTGCTTATTAGGAACACTTTTAGACCCAGGTGTTATGTATCAATTAACCGATTATTTCTAATATACAATTTGTTTTATTCAACTACGCAATTGTATCAATTATCCGAGTTTCTAATAGCGGTTGCTACTGTATCATGATCTGAATAAAATATGACGAATACAATATTTACAAAAAATTGTACGTCATTGTAGTTCTAAATAGAACTATCATTTCTCTATACTATAGAACAGCGATTCTCAATTAATTGAGTGTCTTAAGTTCATAACGTCATGTACTCTAATATTTCGCTTCTTTTTTGTTCAATAATTATAGATCCTCAAATGAAAATAATTTTACTGTCTGGTGAAGCAAGATTTACGTATTGTAAAAGAAAAAGCGATTAAAGGAAATCAGAGTATTCTGTCGTTTCTTAAACCTATACTAAACAGGAACCATCTATGGTATGTTTTCCAACCTTTAAGCTAAGGCGAACCATAAATATTTTTTTTGTTATGTAGAAGATCTACCAAAAAAAAAAAAGAAAAGTAATACCTATGCTAACATAACATAACATCTAACTACTGATAATTATATTTGAAGGCATTTTATCATATATCTTAACACAATACTACAAAACTAAATTCTCAAATATACATATATAATTATACTTAGATAACTAAAATATTTTTCTTGTCATATAGTTAACCAATCAACAATATTTTGCGGTCCATAGGTTAGTAGGATACGCTGATCTATGGCATACAATTCAGAGCGGAAAATAATCCATCCACTTTTTCTACTCTTGGTATGCTTTTAAAATAAAAAAATAAGGTTGTAAAAAAAAAACATTTTTTAACAAAGAAATTTATTTTTATAAAAATACGTTATAAAATACGTTTTAAATGTTTTATACATTTATTTTATATATATATTTAAAATATACCCAATTGTAGAAATTGTGCCTCTGACATTCCTTAATTGAAATTTTTTTACTTTTATGAACATCTTAAATTTAAAATTTAAAAGTATCTAAAAAAATATGAAATAATTAACTATGTTAGGTAAGATATTTACATGGGGTAAGGATTTGGACAAAAATGAAGGTCTTAGTAAATTAAACAATGGAAATTCTGAAATATATAACACAATTTAAGCACTTTTTTAACAAGAAAAGCAATATATACAATTGATAAAGACCTTAATATATTTTATTACTCCCAATGTAAAATCAAAAAACTGTAGTTACCAATCAGATTTTTAAGGCACCTAGTTAGTAAATTAATTTTTTTTGTTTTTTATTAACTTAAAAAAACTATTTGGAATCAGAGGTTGTTTTAATTGGTTATTATTTAATTAGTTTAAACATTAAATGCAGTTTACTAACAGCTTATGAATGAGTCTAAAATTAAATTATCTTCAAACGTAAAATTGAAGATATTTTTGTTTTCAAATGAGTTTACTTTATTGTGTTAAATAAAAAAGACAATTAGATATAAATAAATGAGAAATATATTTTATAAAACAGCAATTTCAACACCAATGAAGAATCGGTAAGTTAATTTTTAGTAATACCATACTACAAATAATGTTTTAATAGTATTGGATAGTGTTACAAATATTAAACATACATTGGTAATTGTAATATTGTTAATACCTAAGGTATATTTAAATGTAAGTTGTGTTAACTTCTATTTTTTTTTTTTCAATAAAAGAGAATATAAATTATCTTAATTTATTTAATAATATTTTACATAAATATAAATAAAAAAAACATCACAAATTATAGGAATTATTAATCAATAAAAAACAAGATAGTTACATATCATACACACTAAAGACTATTGCCGTTTCTCAACAATAACCAGTCTTCGTGGACACAATTCAATGTTGCATTTTCTTTTGAGAAAAGTTTAAAAAACTATCAAAACACTGGAGCTGGATATAAACGTTTTGGTTCTTCTGGATGAAAACCTATATCTTTTCCTTCACACCACAATTTATATTTTTTAGGTTGGAATCTTTTAACAAATGTGTCCATACTGAATGCTACTCTACTCCCTCCACAACTGCACAAAGTAGCCCTTTTACCATATTCCACCCATCTATCCATTGCGAAATTAGTAGACTCCGCAATATTAAAACCATGACTGAATCCCATATGATAGGAGAACGGGAATGTTATCATGAATTCACCACTCTCCTGAGTAATCTAAAACAACAATAAAAACTGTAATTTATTTATAAACTTATTAATACTAATACAATTTTTTTTTTCGTCAGAATTGATTACAATCCCGGAATTGTTTTTTGCATTGTTTCAGGGCCAATACTAAAATAAATTAACATATATGTGAAATAAATATTTTATAATAATTTAAATTACTTTGTTCGTCAATATGTCATGCGATTTTAATATAGATGGTGACATGACAACCATCTTATGTCTGAGAAACGATGTGCAGGTAGATTCTCCATAAATGTTTTTAACTACTCTTTGAAAACGGTGTCCCGCTTTTGGAGGAATTGCGTACCTAAAATAAAATACATTAATAAATTACATTATAATTGAAAAGTAAAAGAAAAAAAGTTTACCATGTTTTTGGACATCCGTCATGTAAATAGTTTATACTATACAAATCCATGTCTTCTGTATGCCAAGCAAATGTTGCTTTCCACATACCAAAATAAAGATAAGTGGTATTGATTCCTTCAACTGTCAAATTGTAATATTTTTTTAAATAGTCCAGTATTGTATCTAGTTTTCTTAAATTCCAACTCTAAAATTAATAAAAAAAAAAAAAAAATTAACATGTAAATTAAAATAATAGGAATTCAGAGAAATTAACAAATACATCCACATCCGAATCCATAATTGATCCCATCACATCAGCTCCATAAATTGCTGAACCGAAATTAATATTTTTCCAATATTTTTTTTCAATTTCATTGTAGTCAAAGGCGTCAGAAGCTGTACTGTTCGAGTTTTCGATCAATGTTTTAAATTCGGATACTGATATTGATCTCTTTTTCGAACTTGTTAAGTTGTATATTCCCCTTCCACCTTTTATTACCTAAAATAATTATAATAAATATTAAAATATTAGCCTATATTATTAATCCGTTAGAATAATAAAAATTATTAAACTAATTACTTGTTTAATTGGGGCTGGAATAATTGTATTCATAATATCGTAATCATTATAAGAGTTCTTCCTTGGATTCCACCCGATTGGTGGAATAACCTAAAGAAAAAATTAATTGTTTTGAATAAAGATAATAATAAATAATTTATATAACAAACACCATAAAAATGTATAATCAATTGCAATAAATTTCATAAAAACAAATAACAAAATATGTACAGAATTCAAAAACAAAATTATAAAATTGCTAGTGTTTATCCTACAAAATATAATTGATTTATTTATTTATTTTTTTTTTTTTTTATTGCTTTGCCTTCGTTAGAAAATTTCAGTAAATAATTAATTTTAATATCAATAATTTAGTTAAAAAAACTGTTCTCATATACATAGGTATACATTACATCTGGTGGTTTTACACTAAATCCAGTGTCTAATAAAACAGTTCTAACTAGCATTTTAGAATGGCTAAATAACTTTTAAAATTATTTGTGGACCACATAATGTTTAAAAAATATAAAAATGTATATTTTATACATTAATTAATTATAACTTAATAATTTATAATTATGTTACTAACAATTTATAGTTCATAAAAATTATTAAATTTATAATATTAAATTCAATAAAAGTAGAAACAATAAAATGAACAAGAATAATAAAAAAGTTATAGCTCGCCACATAAAAATGAAAAATATAAAATATATATTTTCTTTACTCCATAATTTTGTACATTATAGTGTAAATTTGGTTTTAGTGTAAGGCAATAAAAATTGTTAAAGGACTACATTTTTCCTGCAAATACTGTTGGTCAAATATAATTTAAAACAGAATAAAGAATTGCAAAGTTATAAAATGACGTACCTTAGCTAATCCAGCGTAATGAGCGCCGGAGGATTCCATGAACTCAATGTACGAAGGAAAGTTTTTAAATTCTTCGATGGTAGGTCTAAATACCATAATTCTTGGAGTACCACTCATCTTGGATAAAATATACATAAACATATTAATAACAGTAAACACAATAAAATATGTTCATTATTAATTAATCAGACTAATTATAGTTAGTTATAGTTATCGATTAAATTTCGACGACTTCAAACAAATTCCTTAGTTGGTAATAGCACAATATTGTTTAAAGTCGTAACGTAAGGATCGTTATTCTATTGTTCGGTTGAAAAATCATACGTACTTTGTAGTAGCGATGAGAATCCGACAAATATACGTCGAACGAAACTGAACGAATAATAGAGACGTTTGAGACAATTCACAACGTCCGATGCTACTAACAGCCAATGTGCAACTGTCGTCGTAAAACGTAGTTAGACGAAACAATCAACAATCGTAATTGACAACAGGTTATCTGGTAGATAGCGTGCCCGGTTTTCGATGCTACCAACGGCCAATGTGCAATTTTCGTCGTAAAACAAAGTTAAACGAAACTATCAACAATCGTAATTGACAACAGATTATCTGGTAGATAGCGTGCCCGGTTTTCGATGTCGTTTTCATAATCGGCATAGTCACTTCATGCTGTTATTAAAACGGTGAGGGGGACTTTTGAATACAAGTCATCCAATCCGGTGAGACGTCTATTGTTCCTTCAGTTTGGACATAACACGCGGGGGTGTTACTGGAGTCGATGATTTCGAGGATCGTACCGTTATCGTTACATTTCAGGCGTATATCGACTTCATATACATACATGTACAGTGGCGTACATTAAGTGGTTCTGGGTTGGGGGGTTAACAAAAATAATCATTATCTTTTTTTTTCGTTGTACAGATAAACAACTGCTATAAACAGTTATTATTTTACACAACTTTTTTACCAATTTATAGTTTACTTTTACATTACAGTAAATTAATAGCTATTGGAATATAAAAACAGCATAGTTAACAAAACTTTTCAAACACCTATTAATATAATTATTTAATTATCATAATATTTGTATAGTTGTATATTTTAAGTTCAAAGCGTAATAATGAAACTACGAATATATTACACGTCATCAATAATAAAACAATTTTCTTTTTTTTTTTGGCCCTAGGGGGGGGGTTTGAACCCGGAAACCCTCCTCGTATGTACGCCACTGTACATGTCACATCACTATATACACATTAAATTATATATACTATATATAATATTTATATATACCATACCTAGCAAGACGGTATAGTGGCACGAAGTTAAGTAAGAAAAAAAACTTATACATTTTATAGAATAAATAAATGATAATAATATACAGCGTGCGGCATAAGTCGGTTCCCCAATAAACACAACAAATTAAATATGTATATTGTATATAGATTTATTAGATATTATACATTTTATTTATATTATTAAATAATTACAAAAAATCACTGGGTATGCTTGAACTGATAATCATCTTTTTCAATGCAACTGCGGCAACGAGAGCACACAGAACGGCATGTGCGGCGCAGAATTTCGACCTGTGTCCGGAGTTCGTCAAATTCTTCCTCGATGATTTTTTTTTAAGTCTGGGAGCGTGAGCGGTTTCCTGGCAAAGACGCGATCCTTCAGTAGAGAAAGAAATCGCAGGGTGTTAGGTCACAGGATCGTGCTGGCCACACAATTTTTCCACGTCTACCAATCCAATCACCGAAACACGCATCTAGAAACTGACGCACAATGAGCGCGTAGTGCGGTGGGGCGCCGTCTTGCATGAAATGGACAATGCTTGCCAGTGCAGGGTCTTCATCCATCTGCCCACGTAGGTCCTCCAGCATATCTAGGTACGTTTGCCCAGTGACAGTGTTGTCAAAAAAGTACGGCCCGACTAACCCTGTGGTGTGAATTCCGGCCCAAACACACACGCCCGGTAAGTTCAGTTGTTTCTCAATGCACATGTTTGGGTTGTCCGTACTCCAATGAACACAAGTCACAATGACACTAGTCGATTGATTGTAGCATTTAATTTAAAAGTCGCCTCATCTGTCCACAAAATCTTATGATAGAGCTGCGGGTCCTCTTCTAAGCAGCCAAGGTACCACTCGCAAAATTCAAGCCGGCGATCAAAGTCATCCTCATGTAATGCTTGCACGAGCCGCGGGAGGTAAACTTTATAATGCATTCGTTTCAGCATGCGACGCAGGGACCTATCTGAAATGTTTAATTGCATCGATAATTTACGGGCAGACTGATTCCCATCTTCGGCAAGAGATAGCGCCACCGTCTCCATGTTTTCAGGTATTGTGACTGTTACTGGTCGACCGGAACGCGGTGCGTCTGCTACAGAACCCGTTCGAAGAAACTTATTATACAATTTTGTCACATTACGACGAGAAGGTACTGGTCGTTTCGGATAGCGTGCCTGGAAGTCAGCAAAAATCGTGGAATAGTCGGCATTCAACCGCAGATACGAAACGAGTAAAAAAATTCGTTCTTCTATCGTGAATTTACCGTTACCGACTTCCATGTTAATCGCGAGAATTGAATCAAATTGAGTAAATTACACACACACCTTACGTCCGTACTACACACTAAACTTTCCTAAAGATCAATTACTTGGACCGATAATACCTGCTGACATTAGTGATAATCGCAATAATTATTACATAACTGATTCTAATTATAATAATAAATTAATTATTAATAATAATAATAAACAATTTTGCGATAAAAAAACAGCGGGAACCGACTTATATTATAATTATAATTATTTATTGTTAATCAGCAACAACTGTAGTTGGATTGAAATATAAATTTTGAGCTGAGCATGTTTTAATAATATATCTAAATGCGGTTGCATACGTATTTGAGCTTTTGTCTGGCAATAAGAAATAAGATAATGGAACATAATATCTATTTTTAAAAATATGAATCGTAAATAATTGATAAAAATATTTTGTCACTAGAGCATAGCAATTTTAATTTACAATTTGTAGAATAGAATAAAATTTTATTTACTGTGTCAGTATTTAGTAGAAAACCTGCTGGAAACAATATTATGTATTTACAAAATCCGAAAAAGTTTTAATATTATCATATATATGTTATATTTTTATATACATATATAAATCTTCGGCGGAATCGATAAACTCCCAACATTTCAAAATTTGAAATTACATTTAATGTAATATGCTTATCAGAACCCGATGTCGCCGATAACCAATGGTCATGCAAGTGTAGTCGACGTCAGGGGCGTATTTAGGGAAGGGGTTGATATGGTTGTTAGAACACCCCCCATCGACCTTATTTTATGGTATTTCACCAAATTGTAAACTGACTTTGATTATTTGAATAAACGTTGTATACAACTTGTAGGTGTTACATATGCTGTCTTAATGTAATCATTTTCATTTATATAAATACATGGTATTTATTTATTTAATACGGGGAAGGGAGCAGTGGCTCTACTTACCATAAGTCTAATAAATTCTAAAACCACCGTTAAATGAATCCTGAATACGCTACTGGTCGACGTTGTTGTCTTGTCACACGCGCGACTTGGCGGCAACGATAAGAATATTGTGTTCTCTTCGGTACTACGTAATTTCTTCACTTGCGTCGCTGCTACATCTCGACGCGCAATCGTCATGTTAAAAATACATTTAACTGCCAATATTACGGAGAGCGAGTTTTATTGACGAGCATCGTGATCCCGTATTTTCGCCGAGTGTTTTCCCAAGACGATTTGGTCGCTTCCGCAACTACTCGTGTACACTTGCCTAATAATAAACGCGATTATTTATAATTTCTTGTGCAGAGTAAAAAGAAAATTCAGTTTATTAGGTACATATTATAAAAAACAAACAAATATTGCGTGTATTATTATTCTACATCAAAACTGATTGTTACTGGAACCAACACGTACGATTTTGAAAGTTATTATAAAATACGATCAACATTTTAAATTATTTTAGGGAAGTATAGTTTCAGAAATGTTCAAGGTACTCCCTGTGCTCTGGGTCCCCGGGGCACTGACCTGCTTTGCCCTATGATAGCTATCGCGAGCGTCTCGTCGAACAGTTCGCGAAAACGAATGGCAGCTGCTTGGATTTTTCTCGCGCCTCAAGGTACGGTTTCTAAGGTACGACATGTCGCGGCGACAAG